CGACGAATATTGCAGCAATTAGTGAAAAACGATATTTGTGATAAAGGTAAAAATGATGCACGTGTGATGTGAGAAGACGGTGCGAAATGCTCAAATTTTTTTGACAAAAAAACCATATACGGGTGTGCACACCTCACATTAGTGCTTGAAACGAATGCAATTAGATTCATTCAACTGGACCCAATGAGAGCGACACAATTCTTCTAAATATCACAGCATTTCGGCGCAAATGCTGTTCACTGAGAACGATGACTATTTATGTATTTGATAAGTTAACCTTAACTACGACCTTGCAGTGAAGGCGCAAGACGGTTTATACGTGTTGACAAGAAAGTTGCTCATGAAGAATTTTTCAACAAATCACAGTCAACTTCTTGTTGGATAATTATGAATGGATTGTAAAAGATTACACGGGAGTACTAAAAACAACGAACAACTAATCAGTTCCAGGAAAAGAAACCAACGAAAAGATTTCAAAATGTCGTCCTGTATATTTCTTGAATCTTGGAATATTTCCCTCGAAAACGTTGGAAAAATTCAACGTCGACAAGGAAAGGAGTTTAAAATATACTCTTCAGAACACACTGCCACAAAAGAATGTTTGCTTACAAACTGATCGGCAATAAACAGTTCACAGTGACTAATTTATAAAATGATAAGTCATTTTATCATCAAGACAACTCTTTGTTTATAATCTTAGTGATAATCACCGCACGACAAACAGAGCTACTAGAGTTAATTTTCGTACTGGAAGCATGAAAATAAGCAACGAAGAACATACTGTCATGTTTATCTTTTTGATCTGGCTCAATTCCAGGCAGGGCTCCCGCGATGCGTCGAAAAAGCTGAAAGAAAAAATTTCATAACCTTGAAGGACGTATTCATGCTGAAAAAATCACCTGTAACGAGAAGAAGCAGCAACAGAAGCAGTTAGATGAATAGAAAACAGAGTGCAGGTAAACAAAATTCAGAACATTCACTTAATGAACTCTATTAAAAAGTTGATTAAACTGAATCACTTCATTGCAACTGAAATACGGATACGTTCTGAAATACAGTTCACCTAGATGCTTATCAATTTCAATACTGAAGGTAGGATTAAAAATTAAGCGATTTGTACAGATTGACTAGTTGAATAAGATTGCATCGAACAACCACTCACCTGTTTAACATTGTAGCCCGCCTTTGCTGATGTTTCGATAAACATAACATTCAATTCTTTGGCTTTACGTTCACCTTCTTCAGTTGATACTTGACTGAAATTCGAGTTCCATTTAAAATCAGTAAATTATTCCAAAAGGATCATTATTGCGACTAATGACAAGAAATTACAACTGACTCCTGAAACGAACGAAAATATAACCGTTTATCAGCTAAATCGGTTTTGTTTCCGACTAGCATTATGATCACATCACTGCCCCTCTCTGTACGCACATCATCGATCCATTTTGATGTCTGATGGAACGAATTCGCATCTTAAAACCAAGTCAAGCTATAGGACATCAGTAACGGACAACGAGAGCTTCGACTGACATTCACAAAGAAATTTTAACGATTCAGAATAAACAGTGACTCCCTCCGTCATAAATCAAAGAGAATCTAAGCCGACGTAATGAAACAATATCGAATTTGAATACTGATGAATATCAACGATAATGCAAATTCAACGAAAAATGTCACCGTATAGAATATTTGTGCAAAATTTTCAGTGAATAATAAATAATGTTGCAGAAACGAGCTATTTACGGTGAGCGCACTGGTGACAGACGGTTCGCCGATAAGCTAAAGATGTCGAGTTGGGCTGATTCGCACCAAGGGCAGGAGGATGATACAATAAAAACGATGAAAGACGTGATGGTGCGTTTGCGAGTTGGTTTTTGGAGTAGGATGCATTCTTTGTGATTGATACAATTTGATTGAATAATTTGGATTTGAAGGAGAACACGAGTGTCGAGTTCAGTTCTATTAGAATGTGAAAGAGTTTCGTCTTTCAGGAAGCAATACGTGCAGAAAGCGCGAAAAGAATGGGAACACTTGATTTGGTGTTCAACGATGAATTCTATACGAAAATCAAGGAAACCGAGGATATGGGTGTCGAAATGCAGAATAAGGCAGCCATGTTCGAGAAGATACTCCGCACTCAATCGCTCATTAAACGAAGAACGTTAGTTCAATTCAGAAACACCGGAAATACGATTCTGCAGATGAGAAATGGCCAATGAAAGCGTGAAAAAGNAATTTCATTTGCCTTAAAAGATGCACCAACGTTTCAAACGAACAAAAGCAGTTTCAGCAAAGAAACCGAATTCGAACGTTCGATGAAAGTGCTGAAGAAACGTGCAGACAAACAGCCGAACGGCACGCAGACAGGAGCAGAATCTGGAACAACGACTGCGCGAGATGCTTCCGAAGGATCGGAAACATCAACGACACAAAAGAGATCGAGTGATAGTCCAGCTGGGCACAGTAAACGCCATAGCGATCATGGTGCGACCAGTGTCGATTTGACAAAGACCGGTATTGCTCAGAGCGCAAAATCAGATGAGAGTCAACCAGTGCGCAAACAATCTGTTGATCAGAAACGATCTGAAAAGAAGCTGACTATCAAAGGAATCGGTGAAGCGACTATTCAACGATTGGGTCAATGGCGAAAGAACGCAGCACGTATTTTGCATATCTCAAAAAGCACACGTGAACAAACTAAACGAAAAGCATTCAGAAGAAAGGTGGCTCACATTTTCGATTTATTCATATCCCTGAAGTATCAACTTTATGGTGTACCAGTCCGAAAATCTTCCAAACATCATAAATGAACATAATCAGAATTTTTGCGCGGAAGTGTAGACTGATCTCTGTGAATGAGCCGTATTCAAAAAGTCAGAAGATTCGAGAAAAAAGACATTTCAAATGTTCACGAGATACATTTTCCAAATTGACAAACGGTTTCAACGTCACGCAGTTTAATTGACGATGCTCAGATGAAAAGAAGCTAATGATTGATTGAATGAATCGACCGAACGTCACGAACCATATCGTTTGCTCAATTCCCCTTATTCAGCAAACAGTTTGCGAAACAAAAATACATAAATGACTCTTTCCGAAATAATGATACAAAAAGCGTTTGAATGGCAATATCAAGGAAAAAATCATTTCGCACACGCGTCGAACGAATTGAAACTGCGTCAAATGATACAATTCTTTACCGAAAACTAAGATTTGAGGCTTCGATATAATCAGCATATTTAACGAACAATGTTTTAGTGAATATATTAACAAATGAAAATGAATCGTTTTTGCGCATTTCAGGTCATATCCAGAACTAAAGGACGTGTCACACGAAAAAGACGAATTCGCAGCAAAAATTCCATCAGCCAACAGAGTGGAAACGCTCAAAAAGTTGGCCGAGTTGGTCAAACAACTCGTCGCAGACACAAACTGCTCAAGCTTAAAGGAAGCAAACAACAACCAATTTTGAAAGTGAGCGGCAGATCAAGCCGAATCGATGCAATGAAGCACACTGCTAACCAGATCGATAATCGAAATAAGGTCATTGAAATGACACCAAATCACCCTCAATCACCACTCATCAGTTTATCATCAACCAGCACCCCAAATAAAGCCCTAGAATCACAGACTATGACGTCTGCTGATAGTACTGCTCAAGTTGTACCATCAAGTGGTAAACACACTAGAAATGATATTTCAACTACTGATTTGCGTTCATTGACTGGCGCTTCATCATACAACAACAGTGACGGAAATATGCAAAGAAATACTTCGAAAACAAGTCGAAGCGAAACCAAAAAAANAACAACAAGACTCGAAATCGAAAACGGAAAAAGAATCCAAAAGTGGAGATGAAGATGCTGGTCTCATGAGATCAACTTCACGGAACAGTATGACGAAAAAAAAATTAAAAGTCCGTTAATTGAACTTTAAAAAATAGTTTCACACCTTTTAAAATCTCAAATTTTCTTCTTGAATAACGGACAATATTTCGTCCGAATTTTTGAACAGTAAATACTGAAAAGCCAAAATCCGAACTAAGTGAGTTTCTAGCAATCAACATAATGTAAAAAGACGAGGTACGATGATGTCAAATCGGGAACTTGAACAGAAAACAAAGTATTAAATGAAATTACTGAATTCAACAAAATCTAATTCGCTGGATTTCAGCATAAGAGTGGTGGTTCGCACAGTGCAGTTTCTTCATCCAATACATCGAGTGAAATAAAAAGTGTAAACTTCCGACGACTATGATAGCTAAGGTATTGTACAATAATGGACTGATAAATTTCGCTGGAAACGGGAAAGATATCACTGAAATATGATATATGGAATATTCAAGGGAGAGTAGATTGGAACTTCAGTGAACGCATTTGCCTATTGGATTTTTGTGATACTTTTTATGAGATGAAAAGAAGTGCACAGGGAAGAATTCAATCAATTTGCGATCAGAATACGTTCAAGCTTACGATATCATAACCGAAAGTCACCAGCTGGTGATCAACAAACTATTCCTAATACGAAAGGCTAACAAATCAAATAATGAACTGAACAGCACCCATCTCCTTTCCTCAAAAAATCAGTCAGGTCTCATCGTCAGTGCACTTTGATATTTGACAATTAAATCAAACATGCAAATAATTTATGAACGTTACCGGAGATTAAATGGAGCTCATAAGACGCATTCATTAATCATTATCGGTTAGAATCTGAATGAAAATAATCGGTACTTACTCGTGATATCATAAACAACGACAGCCACCGTTGAGTCTCGAATATAGGACGGAATCAATGACCGGAACCGCTCTTGCCCTGCTGTATCCCACAACTGCAAACGCACCTGAAAACTGACTTACCGTTCAACTCTGAAAGATACTTCGCTAATGATTACAGTATGAGAATTCAGAACAGCATTAGTTTGCTTCATGTGACGAGTTATATTTCAGTGCACTCCAAATTCTATTTTTAATCCTCAGTGTTTGATTTATCTTGAATTGTTCATACACAAAATGTTCTTCATTTATGTTTCTACTCAATGAATTCAAAAGTTCATCANAATGATGGTAGCATTCGTACAAGTCACCTTCCTCTGGTTTTGTTGAATCGCGCTTCAACTTTACTGTTCACCTTGTTTTTGCATGTTTTCAATGTTATTTTTTCATAAATGTTCTTCATTTGCAGCGATTATTTATTCTTTTGCATTATTATGAAAGTGATTCATAACATTTTTATCTTCACGTGAGTGCTGCTGTAAATGTTCGCAAGCCGTGACGTAGATACGTCTCATCGATCGTGATCCTTATCAATTCAACCCTCTTAGGCCAACAACTGCTACAGTTAAACTTTTCCCGCATTCCTTTCAATGTCTTACATGTACTGTTTTCAATCAGTCCGAAAGATAACCAGCGAAAAGAATGCAATACGTCAAATACTAACAACAAGCAATGACACGGTTCTCAAAAGTAAATGAAAAATTTCAAGATTACTTGTTGAATAATATTTATGGGCAATCGAAGAAATCAAAAGTATGAATCAGAGAGATGAAACAACAAGAAAAGAACATAAACATACGGTTCTGTCTTCCAAATACATCGTTTTACTCAGAAAATCAATACCTATCGTTGCTTGATATGTGTTATCGAAACTGTCATACATGAAACGTGTTATCAGTGACGTTTTTCCAACTGAAATATCCAACTTCAACAAAAATAACTTGAGTGACAAATACATTATTATTCACATCAACCTTTCTGCAGACTCTTCCCAAACTCCACCAATGGTTTCAAAATTTTTCTCTTGACAATCTAACANAATAGAAGAAATGCTCTTGTTCTCCTCTTTCATCAACCATACATCAAGCGATATTTCATGTAAGCACTGATCATCCGTAATGAAAAAAGAGATTAAAAGGAGGAAAAAAGGTCAAACTCACCGCTTTGTTCGCCAAGAAAGACCAATTTAAATTTCTTAAGAGGATTCCCGAAATCGGATGCCATTCTCAAAAACAAAAGCTGAAATTCTTGAATTAAGGCACAAAAATCAAGACTTCCACTTTTTGTTTAAGACGAGTCGAAAATAGAAATCTGTTAAGCAAGACAAACAGCTAAACTTTTCTCGCATTCCTTTCTATGTCTTACATGTATTGTTTTCAATCAGTTCGGAAGATAACGTGATGAAATCACGCAAAAACAGTTGAAAATAAATCATACAAAAGTAATCAAGCACCGAGCAACAATTCTATGGTTAATTACGGGGTGACGCAAGTGGTACACTAATTACGATCATAGTTATAACTGCCATCTTTATGACCATACCACTTTTCAGAAAACTATTTCTATCACATCACTTGTTCTACCTCTTTTTCACTAGATTTATCGATTGAATTGGTGAACGAATTTTATCATACAATGACTGGTGATGGATCGTTGCACAAGAATCGAGAGAATAAGGAATGGAAACGATTTCCGTTCTTGAAGATGAGAAAAATTAGACTGATTCAATTGCTCCTCTTCTGAGTCAACATGTAAATAAACGAAACATCAAAACTGGGTGTTGAATTTCTCAACTTGTGCATCCAAATGAAAACAGACACACACATTCGAATGCAACACAGCCAGTTGTGAATCAATACGTAATGCGCAAAGAGAGCAACGTCGATGCACCATGTCAGGCAGATTTCATTAAGCTTATAGCATGCCAGTCTGTACTTTACATTTTATTCCTGGCTTCACTCGCATCAGACACACTACTGTCTAAGAGTGAAGTCGTTGGGAGGCTAGATAATTACGATCATGGATGGGACAATTGAACAGCAAACAATACTCGAAATGAATGCGAAAATCGCTATAAGTGCAAACGCCTGCTGCAACAAACACAATGCTGGATTAAGGAATAACAATATTCAGCGCATAATTATCAAAAAAANAACGCTTATTGTTGAGAATCCAATTTCGCGCCGATGTAGTTAGAATTCATAACTTTAAGGAGTGTGACTGCACGAATATGAACGGTATGGTTAGCGCTAATGGTGAAAAATATCGCTTATTTAAACGGTTTTTAAATTTTGCTGCCTGTAAGTACTAATACGAACTAGATGCCACATCCGATAAAGATCAATCAATACTCTAGCCAAAAGCCAACTGCAAATTTTATCGATAAAATTAGTCGCAGCAATAAGAGTAAGATGCCGGTATTTGAAGCGTTTGAACAAAAAATGCCGGAAAACACTGCAAATTGTGAAGGCATCAGCGAATGCCCCTTGACATGAACTGAAACTCTACGTTAAATCAGTGCAAGTAATTATGATACGAATGAAGCGCAAGATTGCGAGCATGCAATATCAGCTCCACTGCAACTGCGCATCAATTATAGCACGAAAGATGTACTACAGCGTTCAGAATCCTTCCGGCTCATCTAAGAACTGTATTTCCATATCTTCTTCATTTCTGCAAAACATCAACTGTACGCATATAAAACTGAAATTTCATTAATTTAGGTAGTTATTGATGACTTCGCTAGGGAAAGTTGACTGATGCCGACAGCCGTAGCATTCCGATGTCAACCTAGGCCATGCATTCACACGACAAAAACGCTTCATTTCCAATTGCAAATGAAATATCGAATGAGTTGGAACGGTTAATCCTGATGACGAACAAAACTTAACAGATTCCTTAGAACGAATTGAAT